TTCTAGTAGGGACGACAGCATTAACCTACTTTTTAAGAATAAATTGGGTTTTTGTGTTTCAGATGATCCCAATTGTGGATGAGAAATCGTGTCCAYCAGTGAAAAAAACGCATCCCATTCACCCAGCCATGTCAGATGTCATCGAAAAATTCCGAAAAATTTTCTTTATACACTCCACGATATACGACATGATATGTGAAAAAATCTCTATTGTACAATAAAAATTTCTATTAAAAACAAAAAAATGTCAAAAAACAGGACAGATTACCGTAATAACCCCTTAAGGTCTATAGTCATGCATGATTCTGGGCGAKTTTGATTATAGGCATGTCTATCAGCAATCAATAATGATTAATTTGATTAGGTTCTCAACAAGTTGCGCTGCAATAATTATCTCTAATAACGTATACGCACATAAATATATGCGAGTATTATTTTATTGATAAATGAGTAAAGGTCTAAAAATAAATCATATTATTTTGCGCTGATATACCAGCATGTTTATAAATTTTGAATATTGAATCAGTTATGTATTTGTGTAAATAAATAATTATGATTTATATATTTTGAGGTATTGCTAAGGCGTATAAGAAATGCTGAAGCTTTGTGGTAAGCATTTTAATATACCAGCGGTTAGTTACCTTATGTACATATACTACTATAAAATTGTGAWTCAAGAAATTAAGGTTCMTACATATGTAYGTATATAGYCAYTTAAAAYGCAAAACAACATATTATCAAAAATATCGAAATTGAGTTTTTTATAGCTTACGCATCACTACATCATTTTATGTATGTACATATGTATATGTTGAATAAATTTTCAGCTCCGCTGTCAGATATAACCAATGCATAACCATTTTAGTAACCAAAACTAAATTTTTGTTTCAACACTCGTATAAGTAGTTTCTCTTTTATCGRTTTTCCTTCGCTTGTAAACTTATGAAAAGTGATGTTACGTTATTTTGCATTTTAGTTGACGATATGCTTTTTTAGTTGTGAAGAGACCACTTGGTGATAATTAATTTTGACATTGCGTGGGTYCAAAATTGTAAGCCAAAATGTCATGCGATAAATTATGATAATCCAGCGCACTAAAAATAACGCATGCGATATTTGTGTACATAATTCTATACATAGATGTAATCATTTTTATGTACATATATACATATGTGTATGCTACATACATACAATTCTATTAACCCTCATGCGTACATATTTAMACATTTTTATTATTCTTGTATCAGCGCCAGAAAAAGATCTTTTAACAAGGTCAAGTGGTAAATGTGAAGAAATTTTCTTGTAAATATCTATGTTTGTATGTTTGTTAGTAAACAACAACACCAATGCATGGAAATCACGGTGTGAGACTGGATTTTCATTTTATCACTACAAAAACACTTTAACAGATGTTTGTATGTCTGTATGTATTTATATGTCAGTGCCTGTGTCAGCACTGCGTTGTTGTATGTCATAAGTCATGACTCACCGGCGCCGTAGATAATATCATACAAAAGTAAAATGAGAAAACAACAACTAACATRTAGCGATTTCTTTCTGTGAGTGAAAGATAGGCGGCGAGCTCATAGATACAGACAAACAGTGTTGCATATGTTGACGTACATATATACATATATATTAATAAAAATATGTTTAATAATTATGTACATATGTATGTATTTAATAAGTAAGTAAGTATGTATGTATTTAATAAATGTAAATATGTAACTGAGTTTGCTGTTAAATTTAATGAGCATAATTGAATGAATTACGACTTMTGCGCTCTCACACACACTCGCTCGCTCACAAAACCATTAATATCTGTGGGCGAAGCATGCAAAATGCAGCGCTGAGTGTGAGCGCGCATGAGAGCGCACGTTCGTTCGCACAACAATTTGCTGAGCGCATATTTTTACGAAGCAAAGAAGGCGAGTGTAAACATTTTACTAGCCACCACTGTGCCTTGAAGTGAACGCTGATCGCTCAGAGTGAGATCACACTTGGAACAGGGTTATCAGCAGTGATTTAGCGGCATATTAGTGGAAGAGAGTTGAATTGTACAACACTCCACGACCATCAGAGTGAGCTCGCTACATGATCAAATTAAAGTATCTTTGTATCCAACTAACTATCTACACTGGCGGCCCACAAAGCGCTACCTTGCACAGCGTTGAGTACTTGTAGTATTGGTTGAGATTCCAAAGCGTTTGGGTGTGTTTTTCCTGCTACGCGTTGTCGCCGTGCTGTCATCGGTACGACCACTGCAAAGATTGAAAGTGTATTGAGTAGAGAAAAGGAACAAAAAAACAAAAACGCTGTGTGAATGTAAAACGGCGCTGGTCACTCAAAAATTGGCAAATTTTCAAGAAAATACCACAACAAAAACAAATCAAGGTGCAGCACATTCGAAAGGTGGCTGAGTGACGTGCGAATTGTTGACATTGAATTTGTGCCGCAACGCCTTTGGAGCAGAAAAAAAATAAAATACAAAATTTCTGAATTTTAATTTGCAGGGTTGTGTAATAGTGACAACAAACGGCTGCYGAACAGACGCAAACTGGTTAGCTGGCTGGCTTTTAATTAGTGAAACGGCTAAAAATGAAATAAGAAGAAAATTCCGGACTACGAACAAGTGGAGAGCAAATTGTGTTTAACAAGGCAATAAGCACACACACTCACACGTACATACACTTACATATGTATGTGTATACATGAATCGAAGAGATACAGCGATACTGTRGTCATCGCCCCCCAAACCGCAGTCAGGTCCACCAACACCACAACTCCAACGCACCAATACAACAACAAGTTCAGTGAAAAGAAACTGGTCAATCAAGCAGATAATTCTTAGAAGACACATAAACTACAGAAAATTGAAACAACAAGCAAGAGACACAAGTGACAAGATCTATAAAATTAATAAAAAAAAGAACAAAGAAAGTAAGTCACAACAACAAAAATAGAACAAAATAATTTTTTCAAAATAACAACAAGTTTACACAACAACAACAACAATTTAAAAATAATTATAACCAGAAAAGGTAGCAAAAAATACAGCACAACAATAACAATAACAAC